TTTTTTTTTTTTTTTTTTTTTTNTTTTTTTTAAATGCTGGGGCATTACACGAACTCTTTTCTGATGCTTTTCTTCAACGCTTTTTTACGCGCTTCTATCGCATGACTTTGCGATCGGTAAACGAGTATCTATAAGATTTTTGATCCAAAATAAGTAAAGGGTAAGTGTGAACAAGTGATGAAATTTATTATTTAAACTATTGTTACTTTTAAAAAGAGTATTATCAGAATGGATCTGATATTTTGACTTACAAAATGCAGTTCGAAGTAAATAATCTTAACATATTTTATTTTAATTAATGTCAAGATCTAATAAGTATTAATTTATAATCAACAAATGAACTTAAAAAAAATTTCAATAACAAGTGTATTTTAAATATTTTTTGAAAAAAAAAAATTTTTTTTTTATTATTATTATTTAGTCTTGATTAGTTTTTTATTTTACAAACTATACTTTGCAAATTAACATTTAATGTCAGCTGAAAGCAATAAAATTTCGGATATACTAATTTTATAAATACAACATAAGAAATAAAATCCCGCGGACAATTATTATTCTCAATAAATTTTATTAAAATGTGTTAAAACATTAGTTTCTCATAAATTTTCCATTGTACAATTATTAATTGAAATTATTTAAAAAAGTGTGGGAAAAAAATTAAAAGAAATTTTATACTTAAATAAAATTTGACGAATTTCGTAATAATATATCCTAAGAAGTAATTTCCTGGTGCTCTCTTTCCGGACTTTTTTTCCTGTGCTCTTTTTTTCCGCCTACAAAATAAATAAATAAATAAAATTACCTCGTTAACTATTATTTTTAGCATCCGATTTGATTCAGGCTGTGGAACCCGAATTTATGTAATTAATTAATACTTATTCGATCGCCATTAAATAGTTTTTTAAAAAATTGATTAATGCACTAAGTTTAATTTGAATTTGTTTGAAAGGAATTTTTATTGCAATTACATAATATATAATAGTGTGCAGTGTAATACATAAGTAATGTAATACGTAAATTTGCATGGTCTGATAGGGATTAATCTTTTGATAATTTAAAAATATTAACTTATTAAAAATATTAATACATTATTATTCCTTATAACAGTAATTTAAAGTTTTTTTTTTGAAAAATTAAATCTATAAAAAAGAAATCACAAAGTCAAAGTCTCGTTCCAAATTATATGAGTGACGGCAAAACAAACTTTTCCGCTTTCACTTTTTTTCTACCTTGGCTCATCTTTATTTCGAAAGTAAAACTCATCGTTCATCCTTTTAACTCCTTACCTCCTGAAATCTCTGACTTCAAGGTCGAAACCGAAGATTCTGAGGTCAGGCGGCACATCTGAAGGACAAGATGAGACCATCAAGGCCAACTATGGTTCACAGAAGGCCGATCTCTGACTCTTTTTGGCCTCCTTGGGGCCTTACCCACTTAGATAGGGTCTATTAAGGCCTCCTACATCACCAAAAACCGTGGGATTTTAAGAAAGAGGCGTTCTAGAAGGAGGGGCATTGTATGGCCTGAATTTATTTTCTATTATTTTGTTCAAATTCACCTTATTTCCTCAGATGTTACTTCCCATCCTACTTTGCTTTCTAAGATTATGATGATCCTCATCATTGTTACAATTCAAGTCGGAGGTTGGATATGGTTCACCGCTTTTAAATCTGAATAATGCATTTAATAATAACTAGTTATACATAATATATTTTCGGAGTTTATAATTTTTAAGAAACCTGCATATTTTATGATTACTTGAGATTACTGACTACTATGGGGAACTTGGCAACATAATAAATATTAAGGGCGTGCTTTGTTTTGTTTGTTTATTCTGAATTTAGATTCATTACAATTTCTGTAAAAATATGAGTTTTTTTTTTATTTGAAAAAAAAATAATAATAATTATATTAATATGCTATTTCATGGATGTTGAAAGCAAAGTGTCCATGAAAAAATTGTATAATTTTATCAAGAAACGGGATGTTTACCGTCTTATATTTTTCTGCGATCCAGTTTACAGAAATGTCTTAGAATAGAAACAATAGTTTAACAGCAATTTTATAAAACTACTACAATATGAACAGCAATTTAAATAAATTACAGAATACTTTTAAAACATTTTAGTTTGATGAAAGAAATTTTAAATATACACGTTTCTAAATATCATTGTAACATTTACGGAAATTTTTCAAAAAAGAAGAAAAAAATCCATTTGCTTTAATAAATATGGATATGTTATACATTTAATCTCTTACTGGTTTTTTTTAATCCTTTTTTTCCATTACTTTATTATTTTTTCAATTTGTGAAAGCTCATTTTTTATATAAAAAAATCTATATTCATAAAAATATATTTACAAATAAATTTATTTTATTTATTGAAAGTATTAATTTACTGTTATGAAAAAGGGAAAAGGTGGCAATGTTAATACTAAATTCTAAAACTATTTACTAATAATCAAAAGTGAAGTTTTTGGTGATCAATTATTAGAAAATTATTACTTCTACGAAGAAAGAATAAATTACACATTTAAGTTTTTCGATATTCTTTCTCCCAACAAAATCTGGGAAATATTTTTCATGTATCGTTATGTGTGTTATATAAATTTTTAATAACTATATAAACTTTAAAAAAAGTTTAAATGATTAATAACTAATGAGTTTTGATACATATATTTAAAAGAATCGTTAAAATAATAAGAAAAGTAAATTAAAAACACAGATTTTAAAAATTGAAATTTACACAGATAGTATTTATTACGTATAAATTTAATATCTTTACACGGACAGTATTTATTAAATTTATACGTAGTGTTAAAAAGTGGCTAGGTGACTTAAGGAAATCGGTACCTTACTAAGTTTGATAAAAAAAAAACAAATTGAATTAATTTATAGTTTATTATGATAGAAATAGTGAACATAGAACAGTTTTTTTAAATCAAAATCTGGTATTTCACTTACGTTGTAAATGTAAACAATGGTAAATTTTTTTAATCTTTCCTTTTTCTTCTTTAATCTTCTATACATTTTAATTGAAATTTACGCTGATAGTAGAGTTTTAAAGAAAAATTTGTGTATTTATAAAAGATATTAGAAATTAATCATTTCTATTTAAGAGAGAAGTTTAAAACATTTAATGTTCTCCAGCAGGTATCATTTTCTTTACGAAACTAATTAAACTGTACATTGTAGTAAAAGCTTAAGAATCTCGAAGTTTTTCATTAAAAATGGATTCTTCACACAATTATATATATATTTTTTATAGCGCCCTTATTTCTAAGATTTTATGATTTATAAAAATTACTGTTTATTGGGGTTTATACAAAGTTACGATTTTTCAAAATAAAATCTTTTAATTATTATTTATTTTTTGGTTTCTTTCGTGTTTTAAACAACAAATTTGTTAAAAAAACATTCCTTTATTATCATGCGCGTTATTTTAGCCGTTCACTTGAAGAATGTTATCACAATTTATAACTAGTAATAACAAACCTAAATGAAATGAAATTACAAAATAACTTTGTAAAAATTAATGTTTAGTACAGGTTTTTTTTCTTCCATAAGGAACGTAACAGAAAAAAATCCTGTTAAATTCCACAGGCAATTTTTTAGACCATTGGAGCCAGATTTTAAAATTAAAGTATAAATATCTTAAAATTTGTTCACTTTTTTGATTAACAATAAACGAATTTTTTAATCGAATTTTTATGTTAATAGGAGCTAATATTTTACATTTTACATCACTTTATATTTATACGACGCGGTTTTTGATTTTGATTGCTTTCTAAATTAAAAGTCTAAAACTAAAAGAATAATTTATTTTTTTTAAATTTTATTATTATTATAACGTAATTCTAAGCTATATTTTAAGATAAAGTTATTTAAATCGGTGTTTGATCTTATTAACCTTCTTACAATCATTATTTTTTGTGCAAATTATATTAATATACTATTATAAATTACAGTAAAGGAGATTCGTTAAGTACTTTAGAACTTAATGATCAACTTCTTGCTCTATGTGATGTATGCAAAAATTGTACATAATATATCCGTCCTTTTAGTAAGCGAAAATATTAATTTACGGTTGTGAACTCTCCAAATTTGTTATAACAATGTACTTTTAATTTTAAAAGTTAGTTTTAAAAAAATGATTACGCAGAAAAATTACTTATGTCCACTAATAGATCTTAAATATTTGGACGTGGGCAGTGGAGGCACAAGCGTAAGCAAACAGAATTCTTTTTGTACATATATTTTAGTGAATTATTTCAACTTACGTAGAAAAATCTGTTTTATGCCAAGAAACAACAATTATTACGAAGCAATCATCGGGATTGGTGAGTGGCAGCGAACAGGGGCTGTATTTAAATATACACCGAAGAGCCATTACATTATGACCACCCTGCTAATAACATGTAGGACCACCTTTAGCCCTCAAAACTGCTAGCACCCGCCGTGGCATTGATTCCACAAGGTGCTGATAGGTAGTCTGAGGTATCTGGTACCAAGCGCTCACCAACTGGTCCTGCAATTCCCTCACATTGCGAGGGGGTAGCGTGGCAGCACGAATTTGGTTTTCCAAGTAGGACCACAAATGCTCTATTGGATTAAGGTCAGGTGAATTTGGGGGCCAAGACATGACTTGAAAGTCACTGGAATATTCCTCGAACCAATCCATGTCGATTCGACCCTTATGACATGGTGCATTATCCTGTAAGTAAACACCATCCCCCGCAGGAAAAACTGCTGCCATGAATGGGTGAACCTGGTCTGAAACTATGTTCAAGTAGCATACAGACGTCAGGGATTGTTCTATGAGAATTATGGGTCCTAATGTGCCCCATGAAAACATTGTTCCTGGGCGAGAAACCATGAAAACCTGAGCGAGCCCATTGTTATAGATGGATGGTGGTGATAAAGTAATGGCTCTTCGGTGTAGTTATTTGTGTATTACAATAATATTAAATATTTATTTATAATTAACTGTTTTTTTCCAGATATAGTGGAAGCTTCACGCAGCACTCGTGCATATACTGAACTCAGTGGTCGCACTGAATCCCTTGTTAGTGACGTCATGGTAGCTATAGTTGATATGGGTATGTTAGAGTTTAATTTTTTTTTAAATCTAAATTAATTGTTATAATTTTGCAGACATTGAAGATTTTGAAAATTTTCTATTCGGGGATCTCTATCGCAAACACACATAAGTCGAAATAATATTCAGGTTAAAAACTTTTTTGAAGCTACTTGGATATGTTAATAATATATATTTGTTAATAACATATTTTTATTTCTTCTTTTCTTTTTTTTAATTGGTTTCAAACTCTCACTTAGAAATTTAAATTGTATACTTAAAATCTTAGAAACGTAAGTAATATTTTATTTTGAAACAATATTGCTCAATATGTTTTTGGATGTCCTTATACTTTAAAAGTATTCAAAAAAACATTAAGCAATGTTGCATTTTTATGAACTTTCATGAACTTTTCTCTTTTTATGAACTTTTATTTTTTTATCACCAGGTCAAAATATAGATGCTTTGGTACCTTATGCTAAGAGACTTAACAAAATTACGCTTCCTACACGTAAGTAAAATTTGTATACTCAGTCTGTTTTGAATATACCTATGCACTTAAAGCCCATTTAAGTTTCATAATTATTTTGTAAATATTAATTTAGTTGTGAAACATTAACTTTGTACTAATTAAATCTGTACGTAGAAGTACATTTTTGTAAAATAAAATAAAGTGTGGTATTACTTTATACATTTTTTAAGTGTTTTTCAATACTATTATTTTATAGCTTATTAGATGATTTTGTCTAAATTTATTTAAAAGTTCTAGGTTTGAATTGTTTACAGGGGGTCTAGAAATAACTTGGTTACATATAATATCAATGTTTATTAAAATATACTTATGACATTTTTAAGTAAACATGAAAACATTGTTAAGTCAAAAGGCCCACCATTGTCTTCAGTTCAGATTTGTAAGGGCATCAAAAAATTTCTCCGCTGTGTCACAACTCACTGATATTTTTTCTCATACGCAGCATAAGAATCTTTTTGGGGATGTCAAAATTAATGAGGTTTAGCCTATGTCCTGGTCTCTGAGATAGGCCCAAGAAAAAATTCCAGTTGATTCAACAAGTATGGTGAATAAGGTGGCCATTGCTGCAAGAAAGTCAGGAAAATGTGCCATTCTTAAATGTGAAACTTTGTGTACAGAAAAAGCCAATTTTTAGCTTCCAAAATGAATTTGAATCTACGAGACTTTGAGCTTTGTCCAAATTATTTCTTGACACTCTGTACAATATTTTTTGTCGATTGCGTTACATCAGCCTCACATTATATGTTAAATTAAACATTGTACATTGTCTTATTTGCTATGGGCCGCTAAGATAAGCATAATATGTATAAGTCTGGATAGTTGCAAATATTTGTAAGAGCTAGATGGTTCAGGGAATAGAGCGTTAGCCTTCCAATGAGTTGAACCGATTTCGAATCCTGGTGATTTCTGGTCGATACGAATTCTGCATCCGGCTCGCACCGACCACAGTGCTGACGTAAAATATCCTCAGTGGTAGATGGATCAAGGGTTAGAGTCCCCTTGCCGTCAGGCTAACCATGTGAGCTTTTCGTGGTTTTCCTCTCCATGTAACTCAAATGCGGGTGAGTTCTATCAAAAAAGTCTTCCACGAAGGCAAATTTCTCCCAATACTTGATCCAGGAGTTCTAATGACTTCTGGATTGGGCTCAAAATTACAAGGCGATGGAGTTGAACATTAGTAGTCGTAAACCCAAACATTGGATCGATTGTTCAACGACGGTTATAAAAATATATGCATATATGAAAACTTAAAAAATAAATTTTCAGGCATTCTCTTCTAAAATTAATATTTTAATTTATTAATTATTACTAATTATAATCTGTTCACCCTTACACATTCTATATGTATTTAAAATATGTAAGGATAACCAGAAATGAAAAATAAAAAAATCTTTTTTATTTGTCTAACGTTTTTCTACTATAAATTTAAAAATGTTCCATAAAATTAAACAAAGCTTTTAGACTTATTTAAATTTTGTCACAAAATTATTGCTTTAAAATTTGGAGAAAAATTGGTTAAAAACTGCACAAGAAATGAGTATTTGAAGTAGTTCTTTAACACTGTGCGTGCACGAAAATATTTTAAAAGAAAAATTTTAATCTTAATTTTGCAGTGAGTCGTATTTGGTTACTATAAAAAAAAATGGAGCAAAAAAGAAAAAGAAAAGTCCTATTTGAATATCTTAAAAATTTAAAAAGTTTCAAGTAATTTAAGCAGTTTTCTTACTTTTTTAAAGAAAGCTAAAAATGATAACGGGTTTTCCACAAATATCATTTTGTACTATAAAACAAGATTTATTAAAAATGACGCGGGCATTATTGGGGATCATCTCCATAAAAGCATTATTTCTTTCGCATGTTTTATTTCCTAATTAATTTTTAAGATATTCAAATTGAATTCGAACTTTTTTTTAATTAATTGCCAAATACGATTCACTAAAAAATTTAAAAAATTTTTTTTTAACATTTTTCCCTAGCATACACAATATAAAAGAACTACTTAAACTACTCATATCTTCGCAATGTTTAACGAATTTTTCTTAAATTTTCAAACAATAATTTTGTAATGAAATTACAATTATTGTAATAGGTTTTTTTTTAAAACCTGCATGAGGATATGAATAAGAGTTGAAAATATACTTTCTGAAAAGCTATTATATTGTATATCATATGCAATACATAGTGATATATTTATTACGAAATTTTTAATTATGTTTTGATTTAAGTTATTTTAAATTAGTTTATATTTTGCTTGTGAAATATTTCTTGTTACTTTATTTTGTTAAAAATTATTCCACCTTTGGTTTATTTAGATTTTCTGTAGATATTAATGTGATATGATGCTAAAATAACAAAAGCAATGTAATTCTAAAACATGTATTTTCTGGAGAAAAAAAGTCTTTTTTTAAGAGTTGTCTTGTTCCAATACTTATTATTTTCTAAATATGGTTAGTTCAAAGTATGGTTCAGAGCTATAACTAAATAACTTAGTTATAAAAAATTGAGTTACAATATTTTTATACTATACCCATGTTATTATGTTTTGTGGGTTTAAGTTATAAAAAATCTTTACTTTCTAGTCTTTTATCTATTTAGTTTTTATTTAGTCTTTTCTTAATTATTAATTTTATAATTATCTTACTGTAGAAAATAGTAATTTTTTTTTATATGATGTTTTCTTAATTTGGATTTATTTATTCATTTTTTATTTTCTGACAATTGTACACCTTTGATTTACTTACCGATTTTGGACATCTTTAAAAATTACAAAATCTAGTTTTTTTAGAGTCATTTTCTTTGTTCTTCTCGTGATTTCAAATTTTTTTTTTCTTTAATTTTAACAAGTTAAATGTTATTGAAAATTTAATAAAATAAAAACCTTCATTTAACGCTTGTCGTGTATTTTAAAGGAAAATAGTAATTAAATGTTGAGTTTGTGCTGAAGAAGTGACTTGACCTTAGTTAACCACTTAATCATTATCATGAATTGAGAGTTTCAAAATCAAATGATGCCATAAACTAGGTCTGACAGAAAAACAAAAAAGAAATTGATAAAAATAAAAAAAATCTGAGGATCATTAGGGAGTTTTAATTTAATTTTTTTTAGAATCATGGTTGCACTGTATTTATCTAAAGAAGGGTATTCAACTATTAATTTCAGTTAATTTTATTTATTACTATTAAAGACGTTTACATATTTTTTATGATTTTTTGTTTTGTTTTGTTTTATTTATGTTGTGGTTTGTTAGTTCGAAAGCATTTTATTATTAACATTTAAAATGCTTATTTTTCCCCTTATTTTTAGCTTCTTTCTTGCCAAGGTCATCCATGTCACGAATCCTACAAGCTGGAGAAAAGAAATCTTTACCAAGCCATATACCTGAATACTATCCTCCTTTTCCAGATCCTCATACCTACATTAGAACTCCAGTAATTTTTTACATTTCTTTCATAAACATTCATTTCTTTTCATAAACATTTATGCCACATTAATTACCATTGTTTAAGGGGAATGCTCTTATACTAATCTTGTTTATAGAGTTTATAAATTTTGAAAATGTAAAGTGTTATGACATTTTGGATTCACAAAACTGGCAAAAGTCAAAAGTCTATTTGATGAATGCTTAGTTACTTATAATTAATTAAAATTTTATGTTATTGAGAATGATGTATTTTTTCAATTAGAAATGTATTCATTTAAAATGTTATATTAAATTCGATCCCATTTCATTAAAAACTTAATAGAGACTTTTATCAAGACCATGTAATCTGTAAATACAATTTTCCCTCTATATTTAAGAAATTGTAAAGGCCGATACTACTGTTTTTTGTATAAAACTTAGCATTACATTTTGTTTTGCTACACATAAGACTTAAAAACTTGAAATTACAAAGGTGTGTAGTGAAATGTACAGATGATGGATTAAAAAAATAACATTCTATAATTTGTTAGAGAATTATTAACTGTTAAATTGTTGGAAAAATACCATACAAACCTCTCTACAGGCTGCAGAAATGCAACTACAGAGTTGAAATTTGGCATGTTAAAAGTAAAACGGCCACATTTGTTTACGAACTTAGCACAGAGTTTTTTTCTCCCTCAAACTTTCAATTTGTTTGAAAATTATTAAAGAAATTTTTTTGCTTTGTGGTTACATTTTACTTTGCTGCTCAAAATATGTAAGACTTAGAAAGTTGAAATTTCGAAGGTGTTTTGATTGTTATATTAACAAAATATTCTTGCATAAAGCTAAAAATAATGGTATATTTTGAAACAAAAATGTTCCATGAATTTATGCAAAATTCTGACATTTAAGAAAAAACAAACAATGATGTATGAAAATCAATTAGCAAGCAAGGAGGTGGAATGTCCTAGTCTTTTAAAAATTTATGATTTTAAAGTAATTGTTAAAGCAGAGGAAAAAATTTATGCATTGATTTATAACTCATTGTTTTCTCTGAAGCACTGTTGGCAGATTTAAATGCTGTTAACAGATAAAAGAGTCGAATTTTTTTATTTTTTATATCTATATATATTTACCTATCACAGTTCTGATAAAACATATTTATAATGCTAAATATTATTTACTATAACTAAAATGCTTAATCTTTCTAACTAAAATTGTTAAAATAATTATCTAATTATTTCTAACTAATCAATGAAAAAACAAAATCATATGTACTTTTGTTCAAGCTCAACACCCACATAAATTTGTGATGACAAAGACCCAATTTGTCAGTTAGACATTAAATGAGGAATTTATTAATTTAGATTTTAAAAAAAGACATGAAAAAAAACAAACAATTATTCTAAATTTCTCTTGGCAGAACATGTAGTCTTTCTTTATTTATTATCTATACTAACTACTTATTTAATAAGTTTTAAAAGTACTTGTATTTAAATAAACATAAAACTAAAAGGTTATAATTTAAATATGTCGATAAAACAGAAAATTATTTTACTTACAGCAAATAGAAAAATTGCTTAAAAAAGTTTCATAAAACTTTTATCCATATTTAGTCTCTTTTTTTGTGGAGGGGGGAATTTATTAAATCATTTTATACAGCAAATACTAATTTAAACATCCTCCTCTCTCTTTATTTCTCCAGATGAAACCTTTAATATCAATGAAATTAAGCTATAAAAAAAATTAAACCCTTGTGAGTATTTTTATAAATTGTATTGAAAATTACTCTTAATTTAAATAAATTATTTCATTAAAAAAAATATCAGGTGATTTAAATCATGCTAACCCTGTTGAAACATAAAACTTTTGTAACATTTATTTTATTTTTATTAATATATATTCTTACTATCCTTTCAATATTACAATTACTTCAAAAAAGCATGACTTACTTTTATTTTTAGACTCATAAACAACCAATTACAGAATATGAAATTATTAGAGAAAAAGCAGCCACTCAAAAGCATGATATTGAAAGAGCACTCACAAGATATATTGCCAAAACTGGTCCAACAAATTCATTGTATCCAGATGATAATTCTCTTTTTCCATGTATGTATTAGCTAATATATCTCTATATATTTTATAATGTGTGTATTTCATTTTACCATAATTTTACATCGTTATCAAATTTGAAACTGCAAATATTTCTATTTTGTTTTTTAAATTCACGTCTAATATTTAAGTTAATATTTCTAACCGTTTTTCAAACAATTTATTTTATTAGTTATTAATTTGTCAGGGATCAAAAACTCACATTTATATAAAGCTGTTGACAACTGTATTCCTACTGCTATAGTAGAGTTTTATGTAATGGGAAAAATGCTTCTGATGTGTTAGCTTTTAGAACGCAGAAAAAAACACCTATAAATTTCTGGAAAGTGCTGTATGTTTTTTGCTAATTTGCTATTTAAAATACTAAGCATTAAACTAAGCCTGACTGGCTTTTAAGAGAAGATTAAAATATTTATACATAAATTTAAGAGTAAATTGGTTTTAATTGCTGAAATATAATTTCAAATCGTATTTTTATGTATTCAAACTAATTTAAAATATGTTTTTAGTAAATGTAGATGCACAGAAATGGTATTTAAAAAATATTGCCTGTTTTGCCATTCTAATTCATCAGATACAGCCAAAATTGTCATATCTCAGTCTTTTTTTCCTCTTATTTTACTGTAATCAAACCAACTATTACTTGAAAATAATTTATCTAGTTGCGAAAATTGTGTATTTTTATAATATACTGCACAGCTTATCTAAGATACTGTTTTAAAACTACTTTCAAGTAAAAATCAAATGTTTTAATGTTTCGGGATTTTTTATACCTATTGTATTAAATTATTTTCTTCGAGTTGGCAAAAATGGGTCCCACGTCTCCTTAGAAGGTCTATTTTTAAATTAGGTAGCCATTTTAAAGATTTTTTTTTTTATTTGCTATATTCTAAGAAAATAAAACTTTGACAAGGTAAAGCTGTTTTATTTGCTTTCTATTATGTATTCCATTTTGCTCCACTAGCATTATTGTATTAAATTTATTGTTTCATTGTTCATTAGATTTTTTTATTGAAAGATTAAATTGTTTTCTTTTCAATTTTCTATAAACATTTCTTGTTTTCAATTGATCCTGTCCAAGTAAATTATTGACTTGCAATTTCTTTTTCCCCTGCGTTACTCTTACTCTTTTGCCTTGTTTATGGTAACTTAATTTATTGACTTATATTTTAGTATTTAATTGAATGTTAAGTTTATTAAAATAAATATAGGTATAATTATAGGCACTAAATATTGGTAGTTTTTAAATATTGGCTATATATATTTAATAAACACATATGACCTATATTAAGTAATTTACAGGACAATACCATTGCAAATTTTGTTCGACTTTCAGCTTTCCCACTCTGTTACCTTACCCACTCTGTTACCTACCATTTACTTATTTTCCCATATTTATCAACTTTATTTTCCCATATAATTCAACAAAAAGCAATTTTAGTGCTTTGCATTTTTAAAATGACTAGAGTTTAAATTGCTTACTATTTAAGCAATCGAGTTATTGCATACTCTTTTGTACTCTCTCTCTTTTGTACATTAGTAGTAGAGCGCAACATAATGCATATTCAAGTTAATATTTCGTCTTTTTATTTTATGTTACAAATCAAAACGTGCGCTACTGTTTTAAGTTTTCATAAAACATTCAAGTTGAAACTAAAAGCTTTAAAAAAATTATCTTGTTCAAATTTAAAAAAAAAAATTATGTACAAATAAGTAATGAAAAGTAACAATGTGAAGTCCCGCATCTGTCTTGCTGTTTGAAAGGATTAACTGTTGTTATGTGCAAGCCATTGAATAGATTATACCTCTTGTTGCTTGTATTTATCCGACCTTATGTTTGTCATTATTATAACCAGTCTGCTATTGATTTTTAGTGTTGCTTTTATTTTATTTGCAACAGGATAGAAGTATAATTAAATTTGAATCGGAACTTAGCAGACGGTATAATCACATTCTTCTATAATTTTGATAATCATATTCTTCTATAATTTTGATGCTTTTTTAGAGAAACGTCAAAAAGCTTTTCATGATCAAAATTATTATTAAGAATTTTTTGAAAAAGTATGACACATAAGACATGTATAAGTTCTCCACACTACAAAGTGCTGTTTTTACCATCAATGAACCATAAAGATGTTAGTAATAATATTTAGCACATTGAGTGTTCTAAGTCGAGCAGTCCCTAAAGTATAGCACAAAGTTAAAAACATTTTATACTTTATTTTTTAACTTTATATTTTTATTTAAAAAAATGCATGCCACTTGTATAACAAGCAACTTGATGAAACAAACACATTGCCCTGATCCCGTCGTTTGCATTACAAATTATTTTCACTGTAGATGTATTCATGCTCTGTAAATAAGTCTAGCTAATGTAAGCATGTTTCTGATAAATTTTATTTTTAATTCAGTGATTGCATGCAAAACATTTCCTCATCCATATATTGCTGCACTACTGTTCAGAGATCAACTATTTGATGATGATGAACCTGATACTGCAGCAGCTGCGCCATCACCACCATGTAAGTACACAATTAATCTGCAGTATAATTTAATATTAAAGTATTATTTTTGTCGTTTTAAACAATATTCTGAATAAATAACCAAAAAAAAAACTGAGCCTGTTCTGAAATATCTTAAATCATGTTCGCTAGTATTTTTAAAAATGAAAAAAAAATCATATTAATTGATTTTAACCATTTATACCTAGTTTAACATTAGCTCTTGATATACCCAAAACAGAATAAAAGAATTCTATGTTTATTTATATAATTAACGTATATTTTAGTCTTAACTAATAAGTGAGACTTACTTATAAAAATTTTCATTTGTTAGAACTTTGATAAGTAACTGTATTTTGTGTAATTAATTTTTCCATAAATCGTGTTATTTAAACATAAAATATCACTGAGTTTTTATCCTTTTACATTTTTACCTGTGCATTTATATTATTTTTTCCTTGTTTTTATTTTGGATTGATGCGAAACTTTGTTAATCTAATATTGTTTTAAAAGTTTAATGTTTAGTAATAAATAAGAACCTCAGAAAAGGTGCAGCTTTCTTTTTTATTAAAACCGCAAAAACTTTAAGAAAGATAGCAGGCAGTAGAAGACTATTTTATAAAATATTTATATAGAAATATATTAAATAAAGCTCTGTTGCTGTATTTATTTAAAGAAACGGATATTTTTGCTATATGGTATTTGTTACCTTGCTATATCCCTCTTCTATAAATTTGGCTTACGTAACCATATTTTAAATATTTAAATTAAAAAACTGTTAAAACTATGTGCTAAAATGAAATTTTACATTTGGGTTGAAAGAAAAAAGCTGCACAGGTATTAATGTTAGTTTGTACTGCATTTAGATTACATATTTCCTCTGTACTCAGACTTTAAAGTCAGCAAAATAATTCAAGATATTTTGAATTAAGGAGCCCACTATATGAATTGAAAAAGAATAGATTACTTCAGTAAATAATCTAATTTATTAAAACAGCTTAATAATTCAAAAATTAAAAGAGACCTCTCCATTTCTTTATGTTTTGTTGACAAATAACATATTTTAAAAAAGGAGGGGTTCTATTATGGATTACACAAACCCCAATCTTGCTAAACAAAAAATCTTACTCAAGAACTTGTCAAATCGATTAATTCCATAAAACAAAAAATTAAATATATTCTAACTAAATACTTCTGGAAAAAATTGTTATTTAGTGATATTATTACTTATTAAATAAAGCACAAATAAGGACAGGAGACTTCTTTTACATAAACACACATTTTTATATCCTTATTTTATTCATGTTGTTTTTCTTCTTCCATACATACCTTAATTATTAATTATTTAAGAAAATTGTTTCAACTGTGAGTAAGAAATCAATTAAGTGTTTTGACCAGGGATGCCCCACCTATGCTCCATGAACTGAAAGTGGTCCCAAAGCCCCTGCCTCTGAACTTTACCCCTGACACAGTAATTTACAGCTTTTCTCAAAGTATCAGATTCTGCCCATTTTAGATTTTCTGAAAGTTTTATTTATGCATTGGGTTCAAAGTTTGCAGTGAAATGTATCTATATATAAATTTTCAAAATTCCAGCAACAATCATCACATTTATCAAATGCTGTACTAATAACAAATTTTATTTTCTGAATTTTAGTCAAAGTTAATTATTAGGAAAAATGTCAATTTAAATTAAATTTCCGTTGCGTGCCTATAAATTTACCATAATTTGCTTAGTAATATAATCGGTAATAGTTGTTTAAATTTTTTTTTATTCATTCATTATAATGTTGGCCCCCAATTCTGTATTTTTTAGTTTTTGGGACCCACTGCCCACAGATGATTGTGCATCCTTTGTTTTTACATTAAAATTTTAGGAAAATGCAGTTAATGATGTTAATTTATTTGGCCACTTAAGAATTCTTCTCTTTTTACTGCTTTGTTTAGTAAAAGTATTGATTATTCTTTTTGATTATAACTGCCAAAAATAATAATATTGTTATTGGGTTATTTATTTGGTACTTTTCGGTTAGCCAGGCATGAAGGAAAAATCACCAAAAAATGAGACCTCTGCTAACTCTTATTTTACTATTTCTTATTTTATTTATTTTTTTAAATACTAAATAAAATGAACATTCACATAAAAATAAAATTAAATAAAAAAAAATTGTATTTTTCTTACGCCAGCCAACCAAAAAGTCCCATTTAATCTATTTTATGACTCTCACAACTAGTTTTTAAACATTAAATTAATTTCATATAATTACTATAGTTTAATCTTTACATTTGTTAATGATATCACAACTAATTTAAATGTACAGGAAAAAATATTTTCTGTGATTATTATTTACATTATTATAAGTGTGAAATTAGCAGTTAACCTAAAATAGAACGTTGACACTTTTCTTTCACACTGAGAAAAAGTTGAAACAGTTAAATTTTAAAACTTAACATCTCTGTCTAATTTTTTTTTCTTAGTTCCACATGAAGATTCTGAAAATCAGAAAGACACCAACACAGATAATGATATTATGGATAATCCTTATCTCAGGCATGCAAAACTGCAGAAGAAGCGAAGAAAATGAAGTTTTCTTTCTCTCCTCGATTTACTTTTTAAAAAGAAAAACAGTCTAAATGGCTGTTAAATTATTTTTGTATCATTTTATTTCATTCATATGTAATTATATTCTAATTCATATCATTCTAAATTTTCCTGTTTTCTTTTTCTTTTTTAATGTTTTGTTAATTAGTGAAATTCAATAAAAGATGCTTAATTTTTAGAAAGTTTCTATAGATTAAGAATATAATATTGTTTTTCAACCTTCAGTTTTCTAAATATTTCAAAACTATTTTTCCTGTTTTATTAGATAGAGAAATTAAGTATAGTGGAGAAACCTTATCTCAAACTTGTCTATTTGATAAACTGCCAGAAAATTAGTTCTTATCGGCACTGGATTAGTAAAACTATACTACTATCGCTCTTTCATTTTCCTAACTATACTAACAGTAGCACTAACTATAGGTCTAGAAATAGGGCCTAAGACAATAAAAGAAAACAGCTGAAAAGATGAGTTAATGAAGAGTCTGAGTAAAAAATTTTAATTTCTTGGGAAAGCTATAATTTTAATCTCATTTAACTTAATAGCATTCATTTATTTTACATCATATAAATATGTCATATTTATATGATATGTCATATTTTAAGTCATATAAATGTGAAAACTTCAGACGAAAGTAGTTTTTAGGTAGAATCCAACTGCACTAAGTAAGAAACAGTCAACAAACATCGCTATAAAAGGATTAAAGCTGAAAAACAATGTGAATAAAGCATAAATGAAAGTACAGGAATGGACATACTATAGTTTCAGTTCCATAAACACGAAATTTCCTCAGTGTCTAAACGCCAAATGATGGTAGAGAAGAAAAGAATAAGTAAGATAAATCTTATGTGGATAAATTTGAGGAAAAATTCCCAATATCAAATGGGACAAGTTTTATCACACCCTACTCGATACCCGAAAAAAAATCAACTTAAGATATTTAAGTGAAACAGTTATGTGGAAAACATACTGTTTTTCTACGATTGGTACTCTGATAGACATTCGTCTGGAGGTGTGGCAGTGACTATGGTAACGAGGTATGATTATTTCTAGTAGGGGTGCGGGGTCCCTCTTTAGGACTGGTTTCGGTGGGAGAAATGGATTCTTTCTTCGGTCTATTGTATTAGCCCTAGAGTGATGAGAAATGAGCATTCGCGCCTGAAACATCGTTTAGAGCTTTCGATTCCTTTTTTTAATCTTTTCTCTTTTTCAAAAGCTTCTGTTTTAGAAAAAAACATTCAACAAATTTATTTGTGTTGGAAATTTTTTATTTTATTTTTCCTCTTTCAACTTTTTTGAATTTTGAGAAATGCCTTTTAAATTTAAAAAAGGTGAAGTTTTAAAATCATTAACACATAAAATTCTGTACAATGTGTTTGAGTGTTTTGCTAATGAGGCTAAGGAAAAAACCCTTAAATGACCTCTCCATCAACCATCTCAAAGAGCATGACAAATGGCTGCTATCGTATTAATAATTACGTGCGAAACCTAAATTTTATACAGTTAATCAACATCCTAACAAACAAAAACGGACACAAAAATACAATAAATTTTTGGTCATAATTGAGAAACTACTATACTAATTTGGACAAAACAATACTATACTTTAATAAGAAATAGAAAAAAGAGCAAAACTGCGATTGTTTAAAAAAAAAATAATTATAATTTTAAACTACTGAACCTAAAATGTAATTCTTTCTCTCTCTGAATATGAAAATATTAGCTCCAAATTCCTTTATATTTAATAAACAAAATTTGCTAGTGTTTTATTTTATGTATTGAAATAAAAGAGACATTTTCAAGATTTTTAAATTCAAATTAGTAAGTAAAGAAAATAAAAGTAACTTAACGAGCTTTGGTGGATAATATATTAACTATCCAATGACAGATAATATATTTAAAATTGATTATTATTATGAACATTTATTTTTACACACATTGAGACCTTTTAAAGAAAAACCCCTTTAATGTTTTCCCTGGCCTTCAAATGGTTTTAAAAGAGCTACTGTGTTTTCACAAAAGAAGCATTAGTTACTAACATTTTCAAAATGTCAGGAAATCTTTCATTAATTATTAAATTTAATAACTTGAATAAATTGTTCCTTTTTATGTTTCAGCTCTCTTCTGANTTACATAAAGCTTTGCAATAACTCATCTATAAATTTATCATACATAGTAAATTGGTTATTAAGACAAAAATAAATGTGCTAATAAAAACTGTTTTTAATAAATAGTGAGTAAAACTATACAGGTTACAATAAAATACGAATAAGAAAGCATAATTTAAGCAAAAGAAAACTTAGATAATTTCAGATGGTTTGATGGTTGCTAATAAAAATCATCGTTAATAGTTTTAAATTTCATCCTAGTTGCGGTAACTTGCTTTCAGTTTAAAAAAAAAAGAAAATTAATAAGTAAATAAAAAAAAAATTAATTAAAAAATAACTAATAAAAACAAAGATATTTAATATTTCTCCGGCACAGATAACCTGAACCATTTCTATTTTCGGCAAAAGTCTTATGTCCTTTTAAAATCGGAGTTATTAAGTTTATGCTCTTCACTTTTTCCAGAAAATTCAAATAATAAAAGAAATTAACTGCGTTAAAAAATGTGCAAGTTTAGAAATTAAACCATCTAACAATCAATGAACATTCATAATAAATATCGTAAAATTAAAAATTAACATTAAAAAAACCTGTACTACCCTTAATGTCAGAATTTGTTAACTTTTTTTCCTTTGTATTTAAAAAATAACAACCGATTGAGTCGAGAGAATTATTTTAAGTAAGAAAGAAATATTCATGCGAATCTTAAAAAAGTTCTTGAATCAGATTAAATAAGTCTCCTACTGGTGGCTGAGTCAGCCAATCTGGTATACTCCCCATACAAGCTANAAAATGCCATCTTCTTGTTTCCATAGCACCAGACTGCCGCAGACTTTGTGGCGGTCAGAGTACCTATCGTAGACAAACAGTACAAATAATATTTAAAATTGTTTATCTGTTTATTTATTTGTTTACTTAATTTCTCAAATAGCTTCAAAGTTTGAAAATGAATAGAATTCCCCTAAAAACTTTTTCCTATATTTAAAATGCGGCATTTTTTATACCATTTTTTTTTCTTTGAATGGTAATTATACCATCTTTTGCTATAAAATTAGAGAGATCTTTTTGCAAGGGTTTTCATAAAAATGTTTTACTTATTAAGAATCGACTCATTTATTTTTATACAAATGAAAACAAAATCATCCACATTTTATCTGCAATAGCAATCAAATGTTAATTCAAAGGGGAAATCCACAAATAAAAATATTCTTATCACAAATTTAAAAATGGAGGGCTCAGATGCATAAATAGGCATTAACATCTAATTTCAACCTAAAATTTCATTGCTGTATTTCCTTTCATTTTCAAATAAAGTGCCAAACAATTTTTTTTATTTCATACGTAAAGATAAGCTTCATTAACTCATTTAGTTAGCACACCTAGTCTTAGTCTGTTGATTGTAAGCCTATTTTGGCAACATGTTTCATGAGAGAATACGATAGTAGAGTTTTTATATACTTTCAGACGAAGGACCTTATTAGTAAATAAGTTAAAATGAGTATTCAAAAATGTTTAGTAAGCAAGTTACTAAAAATGATTAGTAATCAAGATTCTCGAATAGTATTTTATTTATTACCTGAAATTCTTCTTGAATAACTTAGTTTTAATTCATATTTTACTCTTATAATAAGACATAGCTCTTAATTTTTAAAAATTTATTAAATGCCATATATGTATATATTACTTAGTATTTTTATTTTACTGTTTTTTAAAACTCTGTTTAAGTTATGGTGATTGGGTGTTAAGAGACCTGGGTACATAATCAGGGAAAGCTAATTCAACTCCAGCATTTTCAAAAAGCTGTCTGACTTCCCCACGAGAGCAACATCTGCAAGCTTCTCCATATCCAGCAATGCTGTCGCCGCTGTCAGAATCAAGATATTCCTCCTCGGTTTCCGTTGTATTTTCATTTTCCTCTTCTTCATCATCAGCTACCATTTTCTTTCTGGATTTGGAATTACTTTTTTCTGAGTTGTCAGAGTTCAATTTCTTGTTTCGAGTTGACTGTTTAGTTTTCTTATTTTTACTTTTTTTGTCCTGTTCAGATCGTTCCGACGATTGCTGAGTTTTTTTGGCTTTTCCAGTTTTGTCATTTTGAGCAAATTTACTTTTTGTTGCCTTACCTTGCTGCTTCCTTTCTTTACCTATCAATAAAAGCATAACGTTAAAAATAATTATTTCAGTCATTTTCTTAGCTATCAATATAACAACACTAATATAGTTGAAACGGCGGGATCAAAGCTCACACAAACAGATGTAACATTTCGGTACTATACTAAAGCACCGTCTTCATTGTGTGTATTTCGAAAGGTGTATCAATGAAAATAATTGAATTTCTAGTTATTTGACACAGTGTTTTTTATCACTTTTAACTTTATAACGGCCTTCTAGAGAAAAGACCGGTTTCATGTCTTGAGCCCCTCTCCTCTTCTCAGTTGTATGGAAATGTATTACGATATTTTCCCCTTTCTTAATGTTTTTCGCATTTAAGCTGTCAAAAATATTTTTTATAATTTCCACAACATTTTCTTTTAGAACTGTGTTCAATGTAAATTTGAGCTGTGAGCTCTATATAGTTTTCCAACTGAAAAGTTTTTATCTGTTTGAAAATCAAGACAGAAACTCAAGACTTCTATAAAATTCCACACGCTTGTGAAGTGTTGCCATAGGTCAAGAGTTCTGCTCTATACCTGTAGCCCATTTTGATTGCCAATACTGTCTCATGTAGTTTTTCTCGTGACTCATATCCTAGCTCTTAAATTATAGCTCTCCTTTCTGTCAATACATATTTTGTATATTTATTCATTTTTGAATAAATATGGGTTTTTTTATAGTTAGACATTTAAATGATTATAAGATTAGTTTAGTACTCGTAAAATTAATATCAAAAGCTCGATGAGTTAAAAACGAAGTAGATGCTGATGGCTTACTTGGGAAAAGTCTCAGCTTTTGCATATAATATGGTTTATGCATATTAGTACGACCCTCATCATAGCGAACCCTTTATTTTAACAGCCTTTACACATAAAGTCCCATTGATGCGATTTATTTCAATGTTAATTGAATTTTAATGTTATTATGTTGTCGTTATGTGCACACTTTAAAAAAATATGGTGAATCTGATTTTTTTTAAAAACTGAACATCGCAAATATGAGTCACTTTTTTGCAATTATGAATGGCGTCAGCGGGAGCATTTTTTAACTAAATAAAATCTCCATAACGTGACCGTTTTTTTTTGTTTTTGTTTTTTTCTCTTACGATTTTCTTTGAGGTGTTTCGTTTCTTGTTTATTATAATTACTTTTGGGGTTTCTCTTATAGTTAAAAAATGCTGTAATAAATTTGTTAATTGTTTTTAAAATGGTAGTATCCCCGTACTGGCCATGGCGTGATTTAAAATATTGTCTCAAAATTAAGTTAACGTATTTGAGGTGTTCTAGCAGCACCTCAAATTAAAAAAATTAATAAATTATTAGCTTTACACAGGAAAAGGGGTTTAAATTAAGATTAAAATACAATTAAAAGGTTAAACGTACAAATATTGGATTATGGTAAACTATGTATTTCATCAAATTCTGACTGTAAAGCATACTAAGATTGAGCTTTAAAATCAAGGTAAATTTTGAATATTAGAACTCTCCAAACTGAACTAAAACAATGTTCTTTGTTTGCTGAAATAATTACAAAGAAGAAAAAAATACCGCAATGAACTACAATATTTGCTTTTCTAAACCTTTTTTTATATGCATTTGGGGTTATTAACTGTTTCAAAAGCGGCCTTTTTAATACTATTTATGTAACTACTATATTATTTTTTAAATAACTTTAACAAAATCAGAAATCAATTACCGCTATTCTTAGTACGAACTTCTTCATAATTAGAGTGATAAGTTCTACACCTCGTTTTAATTTTATTCTCCATATCCTGAACAAATCAAGCTTCCGAGTAAAATGGAGAATTTTTAAACTTCAATTTGTTAAATTTAGTCTGGCATTACAACTTATACGTTAAGATTTATTAATTTATCAATATGGAATCGAACGTGAATCAAATGTATTAATAGCCTTTTATGCAAATTATCAGTGCTAACCTTTAGAAAAGGAAAAAGAAATATTAATATGAAAAGTTATTGCAAAGTGTATTTCGGTAATCTTTAGTTTTGGATTCCATCACAATTTTCATTGTCCTCCCCTAAGGTCCTCAGCAAAAATCTAACGATGAGGTCTTATCATTTTCGCTGACAGAAATCTTTCGCGTATAATTCCCACAAGTCAAATAAAATTTCTGAGTGAGTTTCTTTGATTTTTGTTTAAATAAAATAAATTGTTAAAAGTTTTTTTTTTTCTTTTGAGAAACAAATGTAAGCTTTGACACAAATGTGTCATTAATTTGATTATTATTATTGGTCTATTGCAGGGATGGGCAAACTTTTTTGGTCGAGGGCCAAAAATCAAGAAAAAAAATGTTTGGTGGGCCAAGTAAGATCTTCAAAATTTAAGAAAGAAAAAAAAGCGATATACAAGTTTTAATTTAAAAATTTGTGGGATGAAGGAAATTGCGATTTCATTTCTAAATGTTCCTTATATTAAGGTTCGAAGTGAGATGTGCTTATTTTAAGGAACAAGGCTAAATCCTGTTCTGTTAGTCTACTTCTGAAAAAAAAATTTCTAAGGTTCATAATTGAAAACTCTTGTTCACGTATATAAGATTAAGCTAACATAGCACTGATTTTCTGGGCGTGCAATTTTAAATTTTGGAAACTAGCTTTTGGTAATGATTTGTCAAACTTAGGCATATTTAGAAACAACTGCTTCAGATGATTGTTAGATTGTCCGCTCTTTGGAGCGTAAAATGCGCAGTCTGCCANAATCCTTTTATGCGAGGAATCTTGGAAATAATAATATTTGGGGGTCCTGGTGAAACCCCGCACCTTTCTGGGGAGTCATGCGTTTCATCTTTCGAGCCAATCACGCTAGAGGCGGTTTTTTGTTAGCAAGCGAAAAAATTGCACGCATTGAAATCCTTTTAAAGATCCGCCTTCAGGAACATCCGGCTGAGCAGCACCACAGTTACAGGAATCTATCTGGAGAAAGTCCCGCATTGGACTGATCGTTAAGACACAGTTCCCAGCAGATCACCGTAGTCAAGCATCAGTGTACGGGTGGGTGATCACTTGGATCAGTCTGCGTAGGGACCGAAGATGTGTGGTATTGGTCCTCTTTAAATTGTTCTACCGTAAAGTGCTCGACTTCGCGTGCAGGTCATCGGGCTACCGAAGCGGGGGTGCCATCCCCTCTGCAGAGGATCAAAATTGTGATGGCATGTCTTCGGATCATCCTCAGGGATGTTTCCAAGACGGTCGACAGCTCTAGTGCGACGTAAATGAACTACAACAACGACGTATGCAGAGAATCAAAATTGTGTTGGCATGTTCTCGGATTATCCTCAGGGTTGTTACTCAGATTTAAAGCTACTATATATTACTCAGATCGCCCGATTTACCTACGATATTAATTTTAAAGGACTATTCTCGCTACATACAAAAAGTATTGAATATGAATTCAAGGGCCATTCTCACTATATACAATTCACGCACCGTCTACTCCTTAATTAGTCCCTCACCGAGAATGAGAGCCTAAAAAGGAGGAATATATACTCCGAGAAGTCTAAACTCGCAGCCTTCAAAGAACGAGAAATTAAATTCAAAATGGGCCGAATTACGAACACCCAATCGAATCCGAAAATGACGAACGAGAACCTAAGTGAGATTTTTTTGCATTTAGCGAGAACGGTCCCTTTTATGCTGTGAGAACAGCCCTTTTGCGTGTCCATTGAGCAACATAAGCTTTAAGCCAAATCATCTTTTTTAAAAATCACTACAACTTCAGTTTCATATTCATCGATATTTACAAAAACAAATTGTGCGCTGAATAGATTTTTTCATTAAACTTAAGATCAAATAAATCTGATTTCTTTAACAGGTCAGTATTAATACAATATAAAAATTATTATTGTTAGCAATCAGTATTAACATTATTGCGCAGGGCTTTTATTGTCACCCCTTAACCGAGAATGAGTACCTAATGGGAGGAAAATATTCTCCGGGAAGTCTAAACTGAGTAAGAATAAGTAGTCTGAGTAAGGATATGTAGTTTGAATTCTAACTATTTGAGAAACCTGAGGTCTCAGGATTGGATGTGAGGGATTAGGTTTGTTGTTCTTAATTAACAACTAAAATCCTTACGTTGGTTTGAACATTGGTTGCGTTTGTACCTTGTCTTCTTACTAAACTATACGTTGAAAGTAGTTGCCAGGAATTGCTACAAACTACTGTTTTTTGTATCTCAGTACTCACTACCCTATACATTTTTTTAAGAAAGTAGCATGCTCCTCTATAAACTTTGGAGAAAAAAAGGCGCTACTACAGTAGTTTCTTTAATTGTAGCATGCTACTTCAGATCACTTGTTATAAAGCTATCTAATTATATATACCATTTGTATAACCGCTGGATATATTACCTAAATGTGACCACTGGGTATATTACTTAAATATAACCACTGGTTATTTTAAACACTGGCCTTTAATTTAACCACTGGTTTTATTAAATGTGTTAATAATTTAATTACTTTATATTAACAGTCAGTTTAGGTAAGGATACAATATCTTTTTTAAAAGAGGTTAATCGAAATATCTTTTATATTTAATAGGATTTGAAATTATAATGGATAGTCCTCTGTTTATTAAGAGGGAATGTTTCAAATTAGTGAAATCTTAGAATCCTTCAGTTAATGCAATGTACCTACTTATGCATTTTCTAACTTTTTCACATGACTGGATAAGAACAGTTTTTTTCCTGAAATCATTTAACTGTGTATAATTATTAAAAAACTTGCCATAATTATTGGTTTGAGTGTAGGCGCAATCTACTAATTAGTAGAACTTTCTGTGTCACGCTGTATTGTCGATAAAATCTTATAAATTTTTTTTATTTTTAAAAGAGATCCACTGTCAAACTCCTCTGCATAACTTACTAACAGTCTTGGTGCAAGTTAGATTTGTTTGTATCACGTTATGTTTTTGAATCTTGATATTTGATTACTATACTATTTCCGAATTCAGTTAAAAATCTATTACCACTGTAAATATTTTGGATAAGTATAACCACATTAAGTATCTTCACTGGCATCAGTTATAGTTAGCAGATTATTTTACAGCCCACAGTCTCAGAATAGTCTTAGTAATCTTTGTTTCCTGTCAAGAACAGAGCGCAATTAGTAATTCTTAAAAAAAAAAAATTCTTTGTCTTGAATATAGTTTATTTCATACATGGGTTCATGCATTAAAGTTGAGCTTTCAGACTATTTTATTTTTAACCAGGATGTTTCAATTGAAATTTTTTTAGGCATGCATAAAGTAATTGTTAATTTATAATTAATTTGAGGAGAAAAATGATTTTAATACATAGTTTTCTGAATGCTTTAGAGATATATTTAAGTAACAATTACCCATGCCTCTTACATTTCTTTGATGTTTTAGGGGTACATTATTTCTTAAAACCATTCTTCTAAATTTCATTAATTATTTGTATATTGCTGATTCTATCAAATGTATACTGTATAATGTATATATATAGTGGAAAGTACCATATCTAGAATCGTTGGGGCTTTGGCAAGTCCGGAAAATGGATTTTTTTCGAATAATAGGACTTTAAGGTTAACAAATATTAAAACGTATTTATTCAATAAGAAATAACAAATAGAGGATAATTAATGTCAATTTCAATCAACAAAGAATAAATCTACATGGTTTTTAAAATCTCAATATTTTAGTATGCGATTATAACATACCACGAATTCCGAATCATTCTCTCTCAGTTAATAATCATTCCTCAATTAGTGATGATTCCACTGAAAAACCAACATGGTTTTGCTGCTTGTTGTTTTGATAATTATGAAAGCAGAATTTCACTTGGGTTTTAAAAATCTCAATGTTTTAATATGGTATCTTTTCGTTCAGCAAACGTCAAATTGCACATTTCTCACTTAATTGTTGACGATTCACCCTTATTATCATGTGAATTTATGGTTGCATTTCATAGTTTTTTAATGCTACGTGATCAGACACAAGAAATTTTGAATTGCATATATATGTAGAATTACTTTTTGAGGCACTCTATTTGTGGGGATTTTATTGTGCATATGGTTTGTGAGGATTTTATTGTCCATTTCGCGTTTTCAACAGTTTGGGGTTTCCACATAGTTTTTAAAATTTTGATTTCATTTTTAATATAATATTATTACCATCTGCAAATTCCGAATTGCACTTTTGAATAAACACTTAATGACCCCCTTTCTTGAAGATTTCATCTCAAATCCGCAGTTTTTTTAAGATGTGAATTAAGTGTGTGATTCTTGGTGGTAATAATCCTTTTATGCGAGATGTGAGCAAAAAGATACATGATTTTCTTAGTGCTGTTGTTAAATACTAGATTTCATTTACATCATATCCAATTTTTCATATTGTAGCGAAAAACAGATTAAAATTGGAAGTCGGGTAAAAATTATAATGAAGCGGAAAAGCGGAGGATTCTTATCCTTGCATACTTTAAATCGCAAGTGTAAAAAAAAAATTTTTTTTTTGAAGAGAAGAGTTTTTTTAATTTTAATTGTTAAAAAGTGTCCGGAAAAAATACCCGGTAAGCAGACGTCTGGATATGAGACTTTCCACTGTATATATAGAAAAATTTTATTTATGAGTTAACAATATTTTTCATAGTTCAATAGTCTACTTCAATTAATGTTACCTTATGAACATCCTTTCCTGTACTATCTGTTGTATTTCCATTGCAGAGTGAATCTGCATCTTCATTCCTGGTGGAATCTTGTCATTGGTTCATCTTCCACATCAAAACAAAATAGCAACTACATTCTCTGGAACTATTAATTGGAGAATGAGTCAACATGTATAATTTTCTGATTGATGTTGATTTCAATGCTATTTGTGTTGTGTGTTAATTAGCTATTTTTATAGTGTTGCACAATTATCATTGTAGTGATTATTATCTGAACATTGAATTAAATTTTTTTTGTTCGATACACTGCTGTAGTTTATATTGTCTGAAAGCAAAATCTCCAATATATTTTTTTTATTAAAAAAATTATCTTTATTTATTTATTTAAAAAATAAGGTTTGCTTTTTTTTTTCAAATTTCTGTTACATTGCTTATCAGTTCATTAACTTTATTCAATTTAGCTTTTTCAATGATATAATTTTTTCTGCTTTGATATTAAATTGATGTTAGTATGAATAAATAAATATGTCTGCCAGTAGAATAAGTATGTTAATTTTAATATCTATCTAATCTATTTTTAGGATCTATCTAAAATTGTTTTGAAATGTAGTATTAAATATTCTATTTTGCAGTATATTTTTATTTCTTTTTATGTACCGATCTTATTCATTTTTCTTAATATTTTTAGCCTATGCAAAATTAGATAGCAAGCTATTTTATAATGCTTAGATGTTCTTATTTTCTCAGGTAATTGAAATAAGTGTGAACAATGAGTTCTGAAAGCCAAAGTCAATCTCAAACTGCATTAGCTTCATTGCATGCTACTTACACTGATTCTGAAGGAGAAGCTGAAGATTCTGAGGGAGAAGAAAGTAGCCCCGTTAAAATTCCTTCTCCCAATAAAGAGAGTAGCCATAGCTCAATGGGTATTAGTTTTTTATTATTTTTTATTGTTTATCCGATTTATGATTCTGTTTATTGAATGTTGCTTTTAAATGTTTAGATGGTTTTGCTAAAGAGAACAAGCAACAATCAAAATTAGTGTCATATTCTACTGAAGCTCATGAAGATGAAGATATGAGTAATTCAAATGACAGTAAATCTTCATCCGATATGCAAGATGATGTAAGTTTTGTTTTACTTTAATTGATGCTGAAATTGATATCAAGATGGATGCAAATCTTAAGAGTTGATAAATAATAAATGGATTGAAAATATCAGTATTTCTTACTACTATTTTCTTAAATTGTAATCAGTATATATATATATTTTATTACTTATTTTTTTTAATTAAAAATATTTTTTGGATTTTTATTTAGTGGCTCTATGTTGTCCTCCCAATTAGAAAGAAAGATTGAAATTTTATGGCATAATATATAAAATTTAAACCTCATAAAAAAAACTATGACATAGCTTCCTAGTTATATTTAAGAAAGTTATTGTTATGTTAGAAATACAATATTTTTATCAAAACATTTGGTTCTTTTTTTTCCACTTTTGATCCTATTTTTAACTGTTTTGGTTCATTTTTATCTTTAATTTTGTGATTCGAAAATGTTGAAAGCCCTGTAATAAGCATGAATTTTCGAAATATAAGTGATTTAAATAACTAAAAAACAAATTAAATGAACTCAATATCATTTTGACTAGCTTTAAATTAATACTAAGAAGATAGTTCTTCCCCCTTTCTTTTCGAAAATATAAGTCTAAAGTGAGTCAGCTAATTCAATTTTTATGTTAATCTTTATAACATGTCTAATAGAAAGGATAGGAAGTCAAAATAGTCTTGTAATGCTTTACATTATATTACATTCATTACAATTATTCGTTACATTAGTAGTATAAAAGAAATTAAATTAGAGTCCACTGTAAACAAACTACTAATAATTCAGCTGCCCACTATAAACACATGAAATAACATTAGTTAAATGGGAGTCCAGAAAGGACCACTAAAAAAGTTCACTTCAACCGATTGGTTCACTATATTCTAGGTCCATTATAACGGGTTTCGACTATATTATACAAAAGCATTCTTAAAAATTCTGAAGTTGTTCAGTTAATTTTATAAAGCTAAACTTTTTGGTCAGCATAAACTTGAATTTAGTGTTGATTATATGTCACTTCCTTTTCTAATTAAAATATTTTTTTTAATCTTTGCAATTAATTTACAATCATAAATATAATTTTACTCACATTATTTTATGATTTCAGTTTTTTTCCTTACAGTCATCAGATCACAAGGTAGTACCAACCGGAGCCCCACCTTTATCACCAGGTATTGAATCAATAAAAATTCAAACATTAAACTCTTATTATGGGGCCATTTAAATATTATGTAAGCATATTTTTTTTATTATAAACCTCTCTACCTTTCCAAAAAAATAAAGAAGTACAAGTTTTACTCTATATGCTTACATTTTTTATTTTTGAAATGTTTTTTTTTTCCCCTTCCATACTTAATTTATCTTTGAAATATAGAGATAGCTTACGAGAGATTTCTTTTCTAATAAAGGGAATTTAGTACCTTAGGGAAGCATTATACACTTACACATATATTCTCCTCCAGTCGATAAAAATAAGCAAATCAGAAACTCTCTTTTCTTTTGGTGCTTAAGTAATATTTTAATGGCCTCTTGTGCATTGAAGTTCTGTAATCAAAAGCTTTATTTAAATCTTATTTATATAATATTTTTATATATTTATTAAAATTTTTCCTTAAAGGAAATAAATTTTTTTTATAATTAAATAAATTTAATGTTGCTATTTTTTCAACAATGTAATAATTTCTTTTGTTCCACATAAATTATTAAATTAAATTTTAAAGAAAGCTTAAAAAATATATATATATTAAGTGAAAATTATTAACTTTTTAATTAAATATGTCTAGATTAGTATATCTTTAGTTATATAGTTATATCTTTATTAGTTATATCTTTAGTTAGAATAGTTATCTTTTTTCTATAAGAGTGAGCTTAAGCAGTTTTTTTTTTCATATGAAAATGAAAGTATGATTTCATTAATTATACATTTAAAAAAAAGGTATAATGTGGAACATTATACTGCTTATACCATTTAATAAACAGGGGTCTGTCCAGGGCAAATTTACTGCCGTTGAGCGGCAGTTTCACAAATTCAATTTCAGGAAAAACGGTAGTTTCACAAAATACTTTTAACATATTTTCGAAAAATATTTAAATATTTTTGAAAGTATTTACTGATTTTACCATATTTTTGTGCTGATTTTTTAATATAATTTTTAAATTTCACAAACTATGTCAAAATTTTCACAAAATAGGTACCTCTAAAAAAAACCTAGACAGACCCCTGATAAATATAATGTTTACTTTTTGAAAATAGGATTTATTGGGTAGTTCAATTACAAAAAGTAAGCGCTGTTAAATTGTTCAAAGTTATTTTGTTTTTGCTTGTCAGATAAATGGATTTATAAATATGTCATTATTAATTTCATTTTAAGGTAGAACAAGATTTCTTACATGATTAGGGTAGAACAATATTTATTTAGTTGTTATGAAAACCAAAGATTATGAGCAGAATCAGAAAGAAAAAAAAATCAAAACACAAAAATCTAAATTGTTTTAATAAACTTGCAAAATTTCTCTTTCAAGAAAATAAGTCTTGACATAACGATTGTGACATGATTTAGAAGCAATTTAAAAAATAAAAAATTTATTGTAGAAAGTACTAAAATTTTACCTGTCTTCAAAAGGAAAAGTAAAAAAGAAAAGAAAACATCGTGTGGTTTTATAGCGTTATATTCTTCAAATGTCAAATCTGCTCTGTATAATTCAAATTCTGCTTACCTAAATTTTATTTACCTGCTTTTCTTTTTCAGTTTCATTTCATAGGAGTCTTTTAAATTTGAAAGAAGAAGATTTGCAACTTCCTATCGAGCCAATTGGAAGATGTTCAAAATCCCTGCAGGTATTGATGATTAACTGAATTTGTTATCATCTACACTTTCTTTGTACTTAAAGTAATATTTCAGTTGATTTTGCTTGCAGACCAGCAGATTCTTCTTCTAATTTTTTTTTTTTTTAAATGGGAGAAAATTGCTGAGATTCCTTTTTATTATACATGTTATCTCCTTATTAGAACATCTCTAAATTTGTTTCTAACAAAAATTAAAAAGCTGAATTGATAGAACACCCCAAAGAAAAAAACTTTTTTTTTCTTCCCTTATTTGGTTACAGTATAAAGATTTATGCCAATTTTAGTATCATTGTATAAAATCCAATTTAAATTAAATGCTAAAAGTATTTGTGCTTACATTTTAAGGAATTTATATTTTAAATTTGACTATGTGTTTGTTAAATTATTCTAAATATTTACAATAATTTATGTCTGATTGCATTCAGCTTGCAGATGGATTTGGATTTATAATATTGCTCCATATTTACTTCTTAAATTCTGCTATTGGTTTTACAGTTATGTAAGAAATCATTGAAAGTAATTTAGAAATAAAGTTTTATTTCATTATAATTTTTCAAAATGTTTTATCTTCTATTATTTTGTAGCCTGTTTATTTTCTGCAACAATAGCTACAGTTTTATATGAAACTTTCTGAATGAAATTTCCTTTATAATTATTAAATAAAGTTAATGGAGTTGTGGCATGCTATGTAAATATAATATAGCATTAATCTGTATTTATGTTATTATTAAATGATAACTATGTTAAATATCTTTAACTTTATGATAAAATTTTAAGTATTTCTGATATGATGAATGTGTGAAATAATAATTTTAATCACTAAATTATTGTATTTTTTTAATAAGGTTCTACTTAATAAATTTATTTTAATATATTTAAAGTTATGCTTTTCTCAAATTTTACTATTTGAATATTTAGGAAAAAATTAGTGATTTATATGAAAAGAAAAAGAATGGCAAAGACATGAATGCCTCAATTCAAAAGCGAAAAGATTTTAGAAATCCCAGGTAAATTTATATGATTAATTCATTTAATAAATCTTAACGCACATAAATTATACCTTACACTTAAAAAGTATTTAAAAAAATATATGCATGTAATACAAAGAGTAAATACTTTTGTATTAATAAAAGAATTAAATCTCTTTCGTTTTCATAAAATGNTATATGCATATATTTTTGATACTTTTTAAAGATTTTTATTGTACCATGCATGAAAATATTTGCTTTAATAATTTATTTTTGTTTCTTAAATAATTGTTAAATTAGGCAATTCCTTCTGTATTGTTAAAATTAACCAGAATTGTTAGAAAATATATTAAAATTATTAAATTCTTTAAAACCTTTTTTTTTATGTGCGTATAAACATTCATTCATTTATTACTATGTAAGTTTAAGGCTATAGAAAAATTGAGGCTAGGCTGTTATTTTTTAGACTATTACTTTTATATTCTTGTGTTGTAATTTTATTTGAAAACTCTTCTTTTTTAAAAAAATACACTTCATAGTATAGAAAGGATTTTTACACTTACTGCTAAATTGAAGTCAGGTAAAGTTGTCTTTTATCTTGAATTGAACTTTAGTCAAGAACTAAAATAGCCAACATAAAAATTTTTAGTATTTTCTAATTATCTTTAAACAATTCTCTTTAAACTAAAGCATGAAGCATAATTGAATATAATCATAATTATTGTATGAAACATAAATGAATGATTAAAATGCTAAAATTTAAAAATATTTAACAAAAAATATTTTTTAAAGTTGCTAGAATTTAAAAACATTTATCCAATTTCTAACATGAAATATTTTTGTAGGGACATATAACCTTTAGTTATGTTTTGTATTTTGTTTACATTTATGAAATATTATAAAAATACTTTTTTTCTAATAGTCATAATAATGTATCATTAAGCATTTTCTTTATAACTCAATAAGATTTTATTAATATTTACTACTTTTTTGATTGCCAGCTTAAAGTGCTTTGTTTTAATAATTCCAAAGAAATGGATAATTTTTATTTTATCTTTTTTATTTTTTTCTATTCTGTAAAAATTTATAAATATTACTTTCTTTTATTTTAGTATCTATGAGAAGTTGATCTCATTTTGTAACATTGATGAACAAGGAACAAATTATCCACCTGTAAGATTATTATCTGGATATTTCTATCTAGTTGCTAGTTTATTTTCTTTCTTGTTTTTAAGAGTTTCCTTCAGACAGAAATGAGATTTTACTTAATATTCTCAGTATTACCATACAGAAAATTATAAAACTAAAATTTTTAGAGACTAATAATAAAATTTTGTAATATTAGTACATGTGATAATACTATTTTTACAATTATAAAATGATACTTTAGTATCTAATTTTTGATTATTATTCATTTCATTTTATTATTAGAGCTGTAAATATCTAAAACTTTTTCTATGTTACTGTGCTAAAAATATTTTATACTACTACTTTCAAACTAAATTAGGCCCAATGTAAAAAATTTCAACAACAAAAAATATTTGGAAATAATAATTATAAATGAGGATATTGCATTCATGTAATTTTCCATAGGTTAAATTCTTTTTCTCTATAAACCTCCAAGTTATAACCATTTTGGATATTCAGTTTGCTGGTTGTACAAAATTCGTTGTGAACAGCATAAGTTGATCTGGGATTTCCATAAAATTATTCTTTTTTTATCAATTTCAATTACATTATGATAGATTAAAAAAAAAAAATTAAAACCTTTTAAAGTTGCACAATTTAGATATAACTTAATTGTGAGTTATTTTTACAGTAATATGCAAGTGTTTATCGAATTTCTTCAGCTATATAATAGGTAAATTTTAAACCTTTAAATATTCTAAATTCTGAAATATTCTATGTTGTAAAATATTAACAATTATAATTACATAAATCAGTTGTCTCAGAATCTATGTTGTTAACAATTTTAATTATGTTGTATGCAATTATAAAATTGCATCTTAAGATAAAACAAATCTACAATTAAAATTTTTTTTTGATGTTACATAAATTGTATAATAATCTTGAAATAAAATATTAATGAGATAACAACTAGAGAAATGATAATTGCTTTTGACGAAATAAGTTTTTTTTCCCATCTCTTTTTATAATTTCTAAAGTATATATATGTTTTCCAGGAAGCATATGATCCTCACTGTTGGGGTCCTGAATCATTTTATGAAGAACTTGGTAAGAAATTTTGGAATTACAAGCCTTTTTATGATGTCAGTCCTATGCAATTTTATTAAAACAGATAACTTTGCTAAAAGTTACCTTTCTTTTTCATTACTAGTTTAAATATTGCAGAAATTTTGGTATCACATATTGTTGTATTTATTTATCATAATTTTGTGCACACTTCGCTGAAATGACTTCAAGAGAGTATAAATATACCAAAGTTCATTGTTAAAAAGGAAAATATTGGATGAAACTCTGACTAGACTTGTGTATAAGAGATTTGTTATGGGCATTGCCCTGTTAAACAGTAAAACAGTAGATATTTAGAATGCAAACTTTGGAACCTGGGGTTTTGTATTTTATGGAATTTTGTGTTTTATAGATCATTTTACTTTACTTCAAACTTACATACTAAATATGGCACTATTAGTCTGGAATGGAGTAATCTAATATTTTTTTCAAATAAGCTATAAAGAATAATATTTTTTCAAATATGAATAAGGAATAATATTTTTTAAAAGTAAGTTATAAAAAAGTTTCAAAATTTCACTTCCATGTGATTTTTCTTAAATCAATGGTTTAAAAAAAATAATATTCAATACATTTTGCTAACATTTTGGAAATATTGTCCAGCTAATATTTTGAAAACATTGTTCAGATAATATTTTGAAAACATTGTTCAGATAGTATTTTGAAAATATTGTTCAGTGAAAAAATAATCATGATTGAAATAATTTTAGTAACATGGTAATCTGTCAACTGGGATTTTTCAATCTTTCTTTAGGTTAAAAAAAATGATAGAGTGTCAAAGAATTACTATTTATATGCTGTAGAAATAGTTGCAAATTATAGTTATATCTAGTTTTACAATAATTATTCCATTAAAACTAAAAGAAGCAATGAAAATCATAGAAAGTATTTATATTTAATCTTCGTGTACTTGAACTTACATATTGCTCAGTCTATGAAGTATCAGAGAATCTCTGCTTTCAGTAAAAATAACACTTACCAATACAATTTTAAAATTTGGCTAAGAAACGAATATCACTTTCAGAAACATAACGTTTGACCCCGTGGCAGAATTGTGGTGACACGCTGATAATATTGCAGAACGTTACAGAGAAATTTTTCCTTTGGGAAAGAAAAGATTTTGATTTTCCTTTCTGCATAATTTTTCTAAAATTATATTTTTTCTGCTGAATTTTTTTTTTACAAAGATTTCTTTCTTGTGCATCAGAGAGGAAGGAAATAATCATGATTTTTCTATTCTCATTTGAGATTTTTAAAAAAATTGGTAATGACTGGCTTCAGCTAGAATTTCAAATTAATAATATAAAATAAGGAATTCAGAAATGGTGAAAGTTTAAGAGATAGTTGGCTCTAGAAATGATGTTGTTTCTTTAATTTTTTTTTTCTTTCAAGAATGCCATATTTCACATACACTTATTTGAGTATCTCTTCTTTAAAGAGTCTTATTCGCGTGATTTGTGATATTTATTTTAGGAGTTACTGTACGATTTTTAATTTGTGTACAAATTGTAATTTATTATCATTTCATTTATTTACGAATTTTAATTTGTGTAATGAGCAAATTTCAAAAGAGGAAATAATTAGTGCATTTTTCTGCCTACAAAATGCGAGAATCTTGCCTATAATATTAGAATTTTAAAAAAAATTATACTTTTGCAATTAAAAATTTTATACATTTTTATTCTATATTTTCTTCTGTGAACGCAACGTTTTCTGTTACTTTAAATTAGTAATTGTTATAATTAAAAGTATCTTAAAGCAAAATATTAGTGCTAGGAAGTTTGTTGCAGAAAGCCCAAAAAAATTCTGCCTCAGGGCGTTTGACTGAAATTTTCTCTAAGTAATTGTTAGTTATAATATGGAGTAAAAAAGTTTTAATGACTGTAAAATAAGTTAATAGTAATATAAAATAGTATACATTGTGATGCTCCTAAGGTAAATAAAAAAATATGGATAGTAATGAATTTCTTTACTTCATAGTTCCATAAGATTTTCTTCTCATTCTTTTGTAGCTAAACGGCAAAAGGAAGAAATGGATAAACGAGATAAAGAAAGGAAAGACCGAACTAAGGTACTTATATTTTTGTAATAGCTTTATTATCACGTGTGTATATTTATTGCCATACTTGTTTTCATTTTTAGTTTAATCTTGATAAACAAACATAACTTTTTGATATTCAGCTAATCATATAATTTAAAATTAGCATCAGAACGATTTTGATTTTGCTCAGATAAATAGTCTTTCATGATTGTTTAGGACTATAACATTTCATATCTTCATGCTATTAAAAAAATCTTAAAATTTTCTCATATTCATTCTCATTTTATAAGGGTTCTAATGTTTCCTTTATTAAGGTTCTAATTCTAAATTCTTATTCTTTAGGGTTTACAGAAATTTTAGTTCCTAGATTTGCAATTTTTTAAAGGAAAATAAGTGAGTAATATAGAAGAATCTATGTATGTAGGACTCTATAATTCAAAGAAAACTAATTAAAAATCACATCATGTCATATTTAAAGCCCTGGATGCTTAGATAAAGTTGCGACGTGCCGCAATCTTGGTGACTGCAATTCTCTTGTGATCGCAACTTTCAATGTAGATATACTTTTATTACTATTCTTAATACTATTACTATACTTAAAAAATATTCTTGAGCAGTACTTTTTATTGATTAATATTTTCATATAATCAAAGATAACTTAAATATTTATTATTTCTTCTTTTTCTTTCCAATATTATAGGTTTTGTTTTTATTCTATTCAGAGAGAATAATACCTTGTTGATTAGTTAAAACTTTCTAATTTCATCTTTCATAATATGCTATAACTTTTTTTTTTCTGAACTCTTTTAAAATTTTTGCAGTTGGATTTTTTATGACGTTCAAAGGTTTCAATACTTTAAAATTCAGACTTGTGATAAAACAGTCAATAATTAGTAAATGGGAGCTTTGTCACATTTAATAACAAAATAAATGAGTTCTGGTTTGTTCAAAATTAATAAATATTTCTTTGAAAATTCTTATTCTGAATCTTAAATACACAAATTTATTTTGCACTGTCACAAAGTTTTACTATGATGCATTAGATATTTAAAATAATAAAAATAAAGAAACTAAGAATTCAAATAGGAATTGGATCATGTTAATTAAAACTTAGAAATTTTAAATGTTTTTCATTTGAAAAATGTTTAATGTGTTCTGCTAGTTTACTTTTAATTCTAGCAACAAAACCCTGAAATATTTAAATGATATTAAAATCTATTTTCAGAGCTTTCTAACGAAGAATTTATTTCAGTTAAACATATTTAATGCAATAGAATTTGGCAAACCTCTAATTGATAAAATAAAGTGGAACATGTTTGCTCTATATAGTTAATAAATAATATCTTGTAAAGTTTGTAACAAATTAATAAATAAATTAATTTCAAACTTACCTTACATAATCTGCCGTTTTCATTTGGATTCCATTTATCTCAGCCAACTCTATGCAGTCATATTTTTTGTGATCTCCAGCAAGTAAACGATATAATTTAAAGAATAAATTTGACTTATTTCAACACCCAAATGGGTAACGACCAGTCATTCTAAATTTAAAAGTATGAAACAACAAAAAAAGTAAAAAGAAAGGCGAAAATTAAAATAACAGATCGAGTTCAGTGTTCAAACTAGTCAAGAAAATGGTGACAGTTCACCCATGTAATCGGCAACAGCCCATTAAAATCGAAAGCAGTACAAAGGTGGCGAAGAAAGGAGGCACTACTTTATCTAGGTAATCTAGAGCTTTAGTCATATTATGAAATGTGATTGCAGCTGATGGAAGATATTTTGAAATATTTATTTCATGTTTACTGTCTGTAGTACTTCCTGTCAAAAAGTTGTTAAACTAAAAAGCTTTGACAGTTTTTTTGTTATGAACACTTGAAAACTGTCATTTTAATTTAGGACACTTTCTGTTAGATATTTAAATGTAATTCTTTCAACAGCTCTTTTCTCCTATTTCTTTCTAGTCTAGTATTTTATCAATATGACTTTCATTATAATGTAATGTAATTATCAAAAAAGATGTTTAAAAGTATTAGTGTTTTGCTTGTTTGATTTTTCTTATTTATTTTTACAGGTTGAATTTATATCGGGTACAGTTAAAAAACCTACTGATTCTGCTTCTGGTATGAAAGGTTTTATTTTGTATATGTTAATAGCTTTTCTAGTTTTTTTTCTAGTAGTTTGATAGAAATTTTGTTAAACAAGTAATGTATATTTTATAATTTTAAGAACTGATTTAACTTTATTGACCTAATATTCGTAAAACTGCAATTTTTATCAGTTGGTTGCATTATATAGATCTATATATATTAAATATTCTCATTATATGCTTCTAAAAAATTGCCAAACATAGTATTAAATGTAAAATATATTTTTCTATTGATATAAATATTGTACTTAATTTTGAAGTATGCAAAATTACATCAATGAACTTATTAATGATAAAAAAAAATCTCCAAATTATTATGTTTATTAAACTTATAATTTTCACATAAATTAAGCTTTAATTTGTATTAAAATCTGAAATTCTGCAATAAATATCAGACTGTTTCTATAAAGTTTTAAAATTATTTCAAATTTTGCAATTTTTGATTATGTTATTTGCTAATATTCTTGTCATTGAAGCTTATTAGTCAACTAAACAAATATGTATTTTTTAAAGAAACAAAAATGTGTAGGATAGACTTTCATCTATCTTTCTAAAGTGATAAGTTTTGTTAAATATTTTTAGGTGTAGTAAAATAACTTTCTGCTGTGCTGCTATAAACATAGCATATCTGCTTGTAAAATAATAATATTTTTTATTTATCCAATAAACTTAGTAAATTTATTTTGAGTTTAAATTATTACAATTTTATATACCATGTTGTCAAATGTAAAACTTTTTGAAATTGTATAAATGTTAATGCTACATTTATCTTCAAAATTTCTTGGGGAGTAAAACTACAAATTTAAATAGAATCTGCTATTCAGATATGAGACTTGTTTTGCATCAGTTGCAATATTCAGATCTTGTTCAAGCCATACTCCTGTTCTTAACAAGATGTGTGGTTTAAATCAGTTATTTTTGATCTTCTCTACTTTTTATCTTTTGCTTTCTAAAAAATTCCATGTCCAAAAGGTTAATCATCTTAGTTAGTTCTATGTATGAGACTTCTCTTTTGCTGAAAATTACCCCCTGATGTGTTTAGTAAAAATTTTTTATCCTGTTTCCATTCAAAGCTTTTTCCTAGTCTATTAAATAAGTTATTAACTACTATTATGAAAAACTATGAAACTACTATTATAAATAACTACGGAACTGCTATTATAAATATTTAAATCTATTAAATAATTTATTAACTTCAAATTAAATTAGAATAATTGATGACACTATTAAAAATGGTATGAAAATAACTACAGATCGAATTGCTTGTATTCTGTGAGTTCTGCTGCTCTGATAATTAATTTCATTATTTATAAACTAGTACTTGATTGGAAATTTGATTTCGTTTGATTGTATTTCATGAATTTAATTTAGTTGAAACTAACCTTTAAGTTCTGTTATTCAAGTATTTATATTTATTTACTTTTGTAACATTTTATAATGATCCTTATTTTGTGTTGTCACTTTTATTTAGGTACGCTACATTATTAAAAAATTTTCCATTAATATAAATAAATGTGTAACATTCAATTCTTTTTTCATTGAGAATTACTATTTTTTATTTGCAGATGCTGCGAAACGTAAGAGTAAATGGGATGTTGGAATGAGCCAGATGCCCGCATCTGCTTTGAAACCTGCAGCACCTGTTACAATATTGCCAGTTCCTACTGGTACAAAACCAACTGTAATATCAGCTTTTGGCACTATTTCCAAAAAAGCAAAAATGTAGTAATGGTAAATAGGCATTACATAGCATTCAGCAGGGGTTTTTTTCCCTTCCCAATCTCGAAATGGACAAATTAAGGTAATGAGTCCTAAGATTATAAAAGCAAGTATTTCCAGTCAAAGGCTACTTTTATTGTTTAGCTTTAAAAAAAATAGTTAAGTTAAAAATGTAAGACTATTGATAAAAAAAAACCTGCATCTGCGTTTCAACCAAGTAGTTTATTTTGGCATTTAATTTATGATTTTTCTGCTATTTATAAAACTAAATTTTTAAACAATTTCTTAACACATTCCACCTTTTTTTAATCTGGTGTTGGATATTGTGTACAGTTATAAAGGTTTCTAACAAGGTGACATTTTCTTTCCTAACCTCACTGTGACATGGATCAGCATTTACTGTAATATAATTTGTTTCCAAGACTGTTTTCTTAAAAAAATTGTTACTCAAATAAGTAAGAATTTTGAGTTGATAAAAATATTAAAAATTTTGTTTTTAATATTTAAATTTTTTTTAAGAATAATTTCTAAATAATGAGTGTATTTTAAAATTTTTGTTAATTTTTTGATGTATTGTTGTTGTATTTTAGGTTGTACTAATTTAATTCTTGCACTCTTTGAGTAATTTTCTCTTGATGTAAGTTTTATAGTTTTTTTTAAAAAAAAAAGCTAACATATCTTTTTTCTTTATTTATCATACTCATTAATATTTAATGAAAGATTTTTGATATATTCATCTTGCGTTGCAAAATATTGATAAACTTTGTATTATTTTTAGAATTTTTAAGTTTATTAGGTAATCTATATGACAAGCATTCATCTATGTTAATAATTTCTCTTTCATGCATTTTGTTTAAAAAAATAGTTTTTTATTTTTATTTTATTAGTATTCTAAACGTTTTATTTTGATGATATTTTGATGTTTAAATAACTGTAATAATTTAAATTGGTTATGCTGTTTTTTAATTTTAATTATGAAACTATGTTTAGATTTAATGTATCTGATGCAGGTTGTATATATGTAAATAAAATCTCTTTTAATTGATAGTTGCTTGTGTGCAAATTTATTTGTCCTCAAATTTGTATAAAGGCACTGAAATTTGAATTAGTATTTGTGAACTATTAAAAAAGATACAATTGAGATTTTTGTTGTCCTGTAATAGAATTATTTTAAAAATTTCATGTGTGGTTGAAATATACACTTAGATTATTCTGAAGAAAAGTTGTTTTTATAGGGAGAAAATTTAGCAAAACTTGATAACTAGAATGAAAAAATGCTATCTTACTTTTTCATATTTAAGCTGGTATTGGCAGAGTATTAAAGCACTTGTTTTTAGTGCGTAATTTAATAACGTTTTTTCCCCCCTATCCTCTTCAATTATTGTCTTTTACCACTTTAAGCATTTTTGAATTAAGGCTTTAAAAGGAAGGAAAAAAAGTGGTTCGCCATCTTGTTTAGCTCAGAGCATTTTTAGTATGAATTGCTTTGAAAGTCAAAGGAATTAAACTGTCTGAATTGATGGTAATATTATTCAAAACTATTTAATTTAGTTTCTAGAGAAATAGATGAAGAGCTGCTAAAGTGTAATAACAGAATACATCAACTGATTGCTTAGAGCACTTAGATTTAAAATTCATAAAGAAACTAAAAAATAATAGTAAATAAAAAATAATAAAGAAAAGCAAATTATTCTGAACTAGTCATACTGAAATACATTGGTTTGGAAAAACCGAATTTACTTTTAAACCTTATTACTTATTTTTATGAGTAGTACTACGCAAAAAAGCAGTTCAAAATATATTGTTATTTTTTATTTTTACGCGTACTACTAAAAGTTTATTCTTTTCAATAAAATTTAGCAGTAATTTAAGTATTTCTGAAACTGTAAATTATGCCTTTCTGTATAGAAAGTTTTCAAATAAACAAATATTAAAATGCTTTATTTATTTTTATGTATAAAAAAAAAAGTTACACTCAACTCTAGACTGTGAGAACTTTGTGACAAATAATGATTTTATTCCAAAATGTCTTTGTAGGTAGTAGATGAAAAATTTAATAAAGATATGTTGTGAAATTATTAAGACTTTTAATGAAATATTTTTGGAACATTACTGAAATTAGAAATGTTTAATTTTAAAGCTTCTACAATTTACTTTGAACAATTTTTATTTCTTAATAAACTATCTAAAAATTTGTTAAATAATAAGTTTTCTGAAGTTTTTTTGTTAGGTTTTTTTCTATGTGTTAAAAGTTTAGTTAGCTCTAAGTGTTAATGTGGTATTACATACCAGGACATAAACTTAAAATGCAGTAAAATTTATTAAGGGAAATTTCTGTGTGATGTGCTTTTCAGTGGGTGTTCTTTCATTTTTACTTGTATAAATTTTCATAAAGTGCTTTTGTGGGAAATATTTTTATTTAGCAGTTAATTCAAAACTGATGATCAAATTTCGATTTGTACACTCTATAACAAAAAAATCGACGCACCAAGAAGGAGTTGTCCGATTGAAACGAAAATTGGTGGATATGAAGACAATGTGCAGAATGGTAAATGATTAAAATTTCAGAACAATTGAATAATTTATTGCAGAGTTACAGTATCAAATTCAATAAGGTGTTGACCCGCCTCTAGCCTGGATACAAGCTGCCACACGGCGTGGCATAGACCGATAAAGCATCTGGATGGTCTCGTGCGGTATTTCCTCCCATATTCGATCCAATTGTCGAACAAGGTCATCAACATTCCGTGCCAGATGCAATCGCCTTCCCATCATATCCCAGACATGCTCGATGGAAGAGAGATCTGGTGATCTGGCAGGCCAAGG